AGGAGGAGGAGGAGGAGGAGGAGGAGAAAAACGGAAGATATTTTAATATAGGCTTATGCGTGGTGTGGGGGTCCGCAGAGTGTGGGAAAGGGCTCCTCTGTTTTTTTTTTTTTGTTTTTTGTTTTTTGTTTTCTGATGGTTGACTAGAATCGAGCTGGGATGATTTGAAGTAACCGTCTCTCCAGGGTTGCTAGGAAACCTCAATGAATCGACTGGGTGGTTCCTGAGGGTGCCTGCCTGGGTTGCAGTCGCTAAAAGCCTAGTCAAGCCCACAACAATACAGGAGGTGGGATACCTTTCCTGTAAACAGTGCGAGATTCTCCAGTGATGTGTACAGGGAGGGAAGGAGGCCACGCCCAGGATCATAAGCGTCAGGCCTAAAGCCTGGTTCACTGTTACTCTAACATAAAGTATCTGAATAAATATGAAGGCAGTGTGAACTCTGTAGAGTCAGCCTTTACAAAAAAAAAATAATAGCGGTATTGGATCATGGCTAAGGTCAGGTCTCAGCTCAGAAAGCAAACAGATTGAGAAAAATATTTCCTGTTTACGAACAAAGGTAGAAAGGCCTCAGCTCACACAGGACCCAGCCTGGGATCTACATGTTTCTAATTTTGGAATATTCGAAGAATTACTTCGTTTGGGTTTTTATTGTTCTTCCTGTTTGGGGGCTATACACAAAGAAACCCTATCAGGGCCCCCTCCCCCCGCAAATAAGACAGAAAAACGCGTAGTGCTCAGAGCTACTGTCTGATCTTCAGGGTGGATCATGTCTGGGCCAAGTTCAAGCCTTCTGTGCTTGTTCATAACAGGAAGCAGAACACAGCACCCTGTTGTTCTCTCTCCCTTTGCTCTACAAGCTGAGGCCTGCCCTTGGTCTCGGTAACCTTGTCTGGTTAGATAACTCGTGACAAAACAGACTTCTGGCTCCACACTTCCTTCTGAGGAGAAAAACACCAACTGACCCTTGTGCTTTGTCCCGACCCCTATTACTGAATCCAGTCATACACCAGGTGTGACCTTCAGACCAGGATGACCCAGCAGCAGGGACACGCAGGCGGCAGCCACCCATCCCCCACACCAATCACGCAGCTTGGGGCCTAGCCCTGAACAGGCCACCACACGTAGGGCGTCCTCAGCCAATCCCTCGCTGTTGCTGGGCTCCTTTCTCTGTCCCCATTGGTGCCAGCTCTGAAGCAATCGTCCCTAGGTAGCATGCAAAGGACGGATCTGGGTATGGAACGAACTGCAAAAGGAATCCAGTGAGTCACGGGGCTTCTAGCACATTCGAGCATTTCCCCGTTCTAGGTCAAGAGGTTTGGGACTTTAGGGCTGTGACTTGATACCTGAGTCCTTGAGGCCAAGTAGGACATGGAGACACTGGAGTCCCTTTCAGAAAATAGACCAGCAATTGCTATTAATCTGCTCCCGGGTTCTCTGTAAGGGAAATCTGAGAACACAGAATTCCATATGGGTGGCAGTGCCTGTCATTGTGATTTGTCTCTATAAGTGTCTCTGGCATCTGTGACTAGTATTATCCCCTCCTTAACCCTCAAGGGTTGTAACAAACTTGCTGGGTGGCTCCCGGCGGGGAAGCTGCCTGTTCTGCGGAGCAGCAGCCTGCTCTGACTGGGAAGCCATTTGCTCCAATCCTGGTTGCCTGTGCCCTTTAAGAAGTCGGTCACCTCTGTTGTAAGAACACACTGTGGTTGGGTTATTAAAAACAAAACAAGGGCTGATATTTAGGATGCAAAGTGAATACATACATATTAAAAAAAATTAAAAAAGAAAACGAAAAACCAGTTTGGTTGTGAAATTGAGAGGGGGATCAGGTAGGGGTGTCTAGAAAGAGTTGCAGGGAGAAAAAGCAGGAAGGTATGATAAAAATGTATTGTATGTATGAAATTCTCAAAGATTATTTTAACATCTATATTTTAAAATGGGAGGCCGGAGCCAGGGGTGGTGGGGCAACACACCTTTAGTCTCAGTATTCCGGAGGCAGAGGTGAGTTCGAGGCCAGCCAGTTCAGTTCCAGAACAGCCAGGGCTACACAGGGAAACCTTGTCTCAAAACAAAACCAAAACAAACCAAAACAGCAACAACAACAACAAAAAAAAAATCCACATGTCAACTTTCAGAGAACTTATCCTTTGGGTCAAAAAATATTTTTTTTCTCTTGACAGAAATTAGCATATATTAATTTTACATAACAATAGGTTTTGGTATGATATGTTCATAATATAATGCATCTTTATCGTTGTTGTTGGACATTAGATCAGTTATTTCTTACATATTTACACTCAGTACTTTCTTCCTTCCCCGAGACCCTTGAGGATTTCTCCCTTTCAAGCTAACCTTGGCTAGCTCCAGCCCTCAAGCTCAGATTCTCTTCTCCCTCCCCCACTTCTGAAATCAAGGCTGCTTGGCTCTGAATCTTCTAGACTCTGGAAAAAGCTGATGCCACAAAGCTCATGACTCAGCCAAGGAACAGGAATCACGAGACTGAAGCAAAGCAACAGCCAAATATAGCATGGTGTGGCTGGAAGCCAGTATCCCTTTAGAACCAACGTCAGTGTTTTGTCCCTTTCTTCAAACTTTTGTATGAATTCTAGAAAGAACTGACCTGCAGGAAAATCTGCCTAGGAAACCACGGAGGCATCCCAGAAACCTAGAGAATGACATTTTAATTTTACAGTAGTGTATGACTTTGATTCATGGAAAAAAAATCACAGAAAGTAAAGTCGATTCTGAATAATACCTGAAATTAAAGTGTATTTTGAACAATACCTCTGAGCTTGAATGTTTATGAATTCCTAACCAAGGAGCCAGACATGCCTGAAATCTCAGCATCTGGGTGGTTAGAGCCCAGCCTGATCTATGTCACGAGTCCCAGGGTCTCCAGGGCTACATATGGAGACCCTGTCTCAAAAAAAACCCTCAAAAAATGCTGAGATTAAAGACATTTAATGTGTTTGTGAGTGTGTATGTGTGTGTCTGTCTGTTTATCTGTGTATAAGTGTATGTCACATGTGAGTGACCCTAGAGACATTGGACCCCTGAAGCTGGAGTCACAGGCCTTTATAAGCTAGCTGCGTGACAGAGTTGCTGGATACTGTACACATATACTCTGAAAAAGGAGCTGCACTTCCTGCTCAGCCATCTTTCCACCCCAGGGATTCAATTCTTACCTTCCAAGGTCTTAGGCCTTACATTTCCAAAAACCTGAATATTTTGACTCTTACAAATGGGGTGTCTGTTTGCTGTAATCGGAACATTGTACTAAACATGTACATTTGGTTTTGTTGTTGTAGGTTTTTTGTTTGTTTGTTTTCTTTTGTTTTTCAAGACAAGGTTTCACTGTGTAGCCCTGGCCATTCTGGAACTTCATCTGTAGACCAACACTTAGGAGTCAGAAGCAGAAAGATCTCTGTAAACTTGAGACCAGCCTGGCCTACATAGTATATTCCAGGACAGCCAGGACTACACAGAGAAACCCTGTCTGAACAACAAAAATTAAAAAAAAAATCAGGGCTTCAATGGGTTCAGTCTCAGAATATGAACAACAAATATGAACAAATTCTGAAATGCTGACCTTTCCTTAGTGACAATTACATAGAAAACAGAACCTTCTCGAATACAAGGATACCACGTATAAACAGGCTTAGGAAGAATCTGGAAAGATCTAGTTCTGCTGGGCTTCAGGGCTAACGCCAACGGTTTTCAAGAACTGGGTAGACTGTCTGCTTTCCTTGACAAATTCAGATTCGTTTTCCCAAATCGGTGAGAGATCCCCTCCTTCATAGTTTTTTTTAAAAAAAAATATTAAAAACCCTTCGTCATTTCCCTTGTTATGAGATCTGCACAGTCATCCACCTTGTCACCGTGCCAAGACAGTGAGGGCTGGGCACAGTGACCCGCCGGGGCTGAGGGGATTGAGGAGGCGAGGCCACCCACGGGATCCCAGTGTGACAGGAGCCAAAGTCCTGGGTCCCCCTAACGCGGAGAGGCAACGGGACCCCTGACCGGGGCAGCTGGTGGGTTTCCGCGGCTACGACCCGCAGTGCGCCTGCGCCGCGATCCGCTCCGGCTGCAGTGATCCCAGCCGTGTTTTCGCGCCGATCGCGTCACACGCCCTGATCCCTCCGCGGGGGTCGCACAAGGTCGCGGCCCTGCCCTTCCACACAAAGCCCCTCACTCTCTCTGGACCCCACAGTCGAACACTCCGTGAGGGGGATCTTGACAGTTTTAGCCTGTCGCTTCCGCCGCCAAGACTGGACACGGCGTTAAAAAAGTAGTCCCTGACCGCATTTCCGCGGAGGGATCGCGGAGGGGCGGGGCTTCCGATGACTATATAAAGAGACGGCCGGGCGTGCCGCAGCTAGTTCCGTTGAGACTGCGTGCTCCGTCGCTTTTTGTGAGGACTGCCGCACAACCGCTGGTGAGTGAGGACACGGCCGCCGCACCCGGCGGGGGCCGGAGGGAGGCGGGAGGGGGCGAGAGGCAGCCCGAGGCAGCCCGCGGCCCGGACGTCTGGTTTCCGTGGCCCGCGAGGACGGCGGCTGTCCTGAGGCCGAGGACCCGGCGGCAAGATGGCGGCCAAATGGAAGCCGGAGGGGGAAGACGCGCGGCCCTGACGCGCTGGACGAGGTTGGGGGAAGCAGGCCCGCGAGGCCGCTGCCGCCGGTTAAGCCGCGAACGTCGGAGGCTGTGGGTTGGGGACTGGATTCGGTTTGCTCGCCGTAGGAGCGTCTGATGGGAGAGTTGTGGGGATCGGGCTGGCCGGAGAGGTCGGTTGGTCCGGGGTTCGTTCCGTTGCTAACTACAGACGTGCGACTGAGACGGGAAGGGGGGGGAAGCGCGGCGCTTGAGCCTGGCCTGCCCCCCCACCCCCGTGACGTCGCGGTTTGTGCGGGCTCATAATGTAGAGTGACGCCATTTCCCTGACTTGAGCTTTCCCTCAGTTGTAGGACAGGGTTTGGGGCTCGGCCTCCGGCAGCCTCTCCAAAGTAAACAGGAACCGGAAATCCAGAGGGGGGTAAAGTGAGCCTTACATTGAGTTTGAATTTCTTGCCCTGTTTCGCTTTAAGACTCTCGCTGTAGAGCTGTGGCTGCTGAGACCTGTTTAGACAAGGGTGTTCTTTAAAGCGTCTGCCTCAGCCACCCGTGTGATGAGGTCCAAGGCCAGTGCCACGACCCCAGACTATTAACTGTATAGTCAAAAGTTTGGTATTCTTCACGGGGGAGGAGGGTTGAGGCTAAATCTCTGGCTGACCTCCCAGTTGATCTGCCCACCGCAGTGTCCCCAGTGCTGGAACAGCGATATGTACAGGCTCAGACTTCAGTTGTGTAGTAGTAATTGCCTATATTTACCAGTCTGGAACTAAATCCGGGGTTTCCTAATGTAGTCTAAGTTCTGTGGTTTCTGACTTTTTGGAGGTGGGTCCTTGTAACCCCCCCACACACACACACCCACACCACAGGTGGAATGTGGATAAGGCTTTTCTCCAAACAATCCCAATAGACAGGAACTGACTTTCAGCTGTTACATACTGAAGTCTCCACCCTGCCAACTTGATAATGTACACAAGGCTCACCATGCCTAAGTTTCTTAACTTTGTTGAGTCAAAACTTTTATTTTCTTGCTGGTTTTAGAGGGGAAAAAAATCAAGACAGATTCTGTGTAGGTAGAACTTCTATTAAGACTAAACTGGCGTTCAGTTCACAGATTTAACTGTTGGTGCTACTCTACAGACATTGTGTCATTCATGACCTGTGTGTTCTTTTTTTTTTTTTTTTTTTGTGATAGACAATGCAGATCTTTGTGAAAACCTTAACTGGTAAGACCATCACCCTGGAGGTCGAGCCCAGTGACACCATTGAGAATGTCAAGGCAAAGATCCAGGACAAGGAAGGCATCCCCCCTGACCAGCAGAGGCTGATCTTTGCAGGCAAGCAGCTGGAAGATGGCCGCACCCTGTCTGACTACAACATCCAGAAGGAGTCCACCCTGCACTTGGTCCTTCGCCTCAGAGGTGGGATGCAGATCTTTGTGAAGACCCTGACAGGCAAGACCATCACCCTGGAGGTCGAGCCCAGTGACACCATTGAGAATGTCAAGGCAAAGATCCAGGACAAGGAGGGCATCCCCCCTGACCAGCAGAGGCTGATCTTTGCAGGCAAGCAGCTGGAAGATGGCCGCACCCTGTCAGACTACAATATCCAGAAGGAGTCCACCCTGCACCTGGTCCTTCGCCTCAGAGGTGGGATGCAGATCTTTGTGAAGACCCTGACAGGCAAGACCATCACCCTGGAGGTCGAGCCCAGTGTTACCACCAAGAAGGTCAAGCAGGGAGATAACCGTACCTTTCTCACCACAGTATCTAGAAAGAGCCCTCCTTGTGCTTGTTCTTGGGTTTGATGGGGAGGTGTCTTAGTTTTCCCTATCTTTTAAGCTCTTAACAAGTTTCATTGCACTTTGAATAAAGTTCTTGCATTCCCAAAAGTCTTGTGAGTTTTTGTTTCTTTAGTTTCTTCTATTGAGATGTGGAGACTATCAAGTTTGTGTCATAAGTGTAACTGTCAGGTAAGAAAATATTTAAATAGGGACTGTATGATAAGTATTGGGTTTTAAAAGTTGTTGGGTTCCCCCCCCCCCCCAAGTACCATGTTTCTCAGTTTGTATCTTAGGCTGTCCTGGATCTCTCTCTGTAGACCAGTCTGACCCCGAGAGTTCCACCTGCCTCTCTAGTGCTGGGATAAAAAGCATTTGCCATCACCACCAGCTTGGGTATTCTAAGGTTTTAAGGATTTTGTTTTGTTTGTTTTTTTTTAATTCTTTTAAAAAGTTGTTAACGGTGATATTTAACCTATATGTAGTTAGGAAGTCAACAGAGGGTGTTAAATCCCCTGGTGTTAGAACCACCATGTGAATGTTGGCAATTGAATTTAATTCTTACAAGATAAACAAGTTCTGAGCCATCTTTCCAGCTCTTGGATGCTGTATTTCTAAAAAGATGTAAAAAAAAAATCAAATGCAATTTAAGGTTTAAATTTAATTATGTAAAGTGTATGTATGTTTGCAGGTATGTGTGTGCTCAAGGCAGTTGTCAGGTCTCCCTGGAGATAAGGTCATAGGATTAACCATCCACTAATCATAAGACTAGTTTTGAATTTGTATATTCCTTCCTCACCTTCCCTAATGTCAATATTACAAGCTCAGAGGTTAAGCCCACTGGGTGTTTCCAAAGGGCCAAGATTCAATTTCTTGTACCCACATCACAGTTTGTAACTCGCATACCTTCTTGGGGCTTCTGGGCAGCAGGCAGGCAAAAACAAGATTTTTAAATTAAAAGCATAGCCTGTTGGTGGTATGTTTAGTTCCAGCAGAGGCAGGCAAAGTTAAGGCCATCATGGTGTTGAAGAGTGAATTCTAGGATAGCCAGGGCTACACAGAGAAACCATTAAAATTAGAAACCATGGTTGCCATGCTCAGCACAACCACGAATTTTTTTGTGGCTAAAATTTATTTGTGGCTAAGCAGTTCTCAGCCCTTTTTCAAGGGTCCCACCACAGTTGAAATTACACCACAATGCTCACTGGATTATAGCAGGTAAGTCTCAACCACTCCCCAAGTCTGCCCACATTCTGTTGTCTACATGTGTGAAGACTGGAGTTAGTTTTTTCACTGTGTGGTTGGTACCCAATGCTCCCATCTCTCAGGCCTAGCAGCAGGCACTGGCTGACCTACTGCTCAGTGTTTGAATATGTGCAAACTTCGTTTCAAATACTCAGTTTACTATATAGTGGGAACTCTGCCCTTGCTTTTGCCCTGTGTTCCCATGCCATTGTGTGCTCAACTTAGTGCACAACACACACAGGTCCTCAGAGACACAGAGCTCTAGGCTGTACACTAACCCCTGCATGTTTTCACTTCAGATCTCAGTATTGGGTTCTAACAACCTTTCATCATATGCCAAGGGGAGAAACTCTTTTTTTTCTCAAAAACAGGAAGCCAGGGTAACAGAACTGGACTATGGGGAGCATATGAAGAGAGCTGCTCTGGTTCCCAGAATCCTCTGGATAATGAATAGTTTAAAGCACTCCATAGTTTGACTTCACACTGGAACTAAGAGTTCACTTACAGAGGTGGGGTTGAGTTAAAAGTTCGAGGCCTGAACAGTGTACATACTAACCACTCTAAGGGGAACCAACAGCAAGCATCTGCACGAAAATGTCCATATTCTAGATGGCCAGTCCTGGCAAGCAATACTCTCATCCCCAAAGAGGGCACCACTGGGCCACATGCAGGTTTAGTAATAAAGACTGCAGTGCCCCCAAGAGGTTGCAGTTGGTTAAGCAATTGCTGTTCTCCAGCCCTAGTCAAGGGTCCCACCACAATTGAAATTAAACCACAACACCCACTGGATTATACCAGGTAAAAGGTCTCGATTTAGCCTCTCCCAAAATCTGCCCACATTCTGTAAAGCCCCCCACTCATTGCCTGTCACCTCTCCACCCAAGTTGTCCATTTTCCTAAAACCATTGCTCCTACTTAAAGATTTTCTCTCTTCCCCTATTTTTTTTTTTTTTCCTACAGGTTGTACCTTGTAATGCAGGCTGGTCTTGAACCTCCTTATGTCTCAATGTTATGAAGGACTGTCTTACAAGCCACAACCACCATCATCAAATCAGCTGTGCCAGCTTGCAAAATATCTCAGTAGAGCTTGTTGATTATTCGTATTGCTTTGTAGGAGAGGCAGGGAGGATCATGGGATCCTCAACTGAATATCCAGCCAGTTCTCCCAAGTATCTAACAGTAACTTTCTCATAACCGTACTTAGTCTCCAGGCGGGGCTAGAGAAAATAGGCAAAAAAGAACTAGGAGAGCCAGGCTTCATGTATGTGACCACAGGGAAGTAAGTCATCATCTCTGCTGGGTACAGACTTTATAGTGTCATTGCTTTAGCAGTCACTCACACTTCTGCTCATAACCCCTCACACATGCTCTGTAAGTAAGCCCAATAAACTCATTAGTTTCGGTGAGCGAATTTCAGTGGGCTCAAACCTCCATTTGTCCTTGGGACCTTTGGATAGGGAGATGTGTCTTTCATCTCCCCAAGGGAAGGAATTTTAGCAATACTGAGTCTTTTCAGGTGCCGAGAACCCTTTATATTAGTGACTTAACATTTTGTAGTCACCTATGATGACAGCAGTTGTAGTTCTAGGTGACTCAGGTGCTAAGGGAAGGGCTGCAGGGCTAAAGGGGGTCAGTGGAGGATGGAGCAGGGCAGGTGTTGGGAGAGAACCTGAGTGCAGATCAGCTGTTAGGAGACCTGACTTTCAGAAAGGGCCAAGTGTCTGGTGTGGAGCAGGACACAGACACTGGCTTTCTGCTGTAGTGCTTGGGATGCAACCCAGGGCCTTGCACAGGCTGAGAGTTTGAAAATCCAGGGAAATGATTGACTTATCCTGTATCTGGCATTGGAAACTCCCAGTGAGCATCAGGTACATGTAGTAGGAAATATACTACAAGTATATTTCCCACTACATTAAACTCGGTATTTTGGGAGGAGCTAATGTGGGAGGACTAAGGAGAGGAAGAGAAGAACGAAGAGGAGGAGCTAGGAGGAGAGATGTAAGAGCCATGGAGAACCAAACGTATACTGAGAGCAGTCCTGGGTAACAACTTATATCTTGGCTAGTTATTTGGGTAACACCTCCAATTGTGTGGGCATTTTGCTAATTGAGCGTCACCAAATATATAAAGCTTTTGGTTGATCTTTAAGCATTAGAGTCTCTTTTCTACAGAGTACTGCGTGGATGGCAGGATGGTCTGGGCTCATCCTAACCTTGTGGAGATAGCATGGCAGATTGGCAGAGCCATCTTCCATGCTGGCTTCTCGTGGGTGGCAGGGCCAGTGCTTCTGGCCCACCTGAGCCGGCAGCCTGAGCCACGGCAGCAGCGAGAACACGCCACCTCTCATGGCCTCAGGCCTTGCCAAGTCCGGAACATGGCGGCTCTGTAACAAGAAGCCAGATTGGGTGCAACCATCTTTTTACTTTTGTTGTTGTTGTTGTTGTTGTTTTTGAGACAGGGTTTCTCTGTGTAGCCCTGGCTGTCCTGGAACTCACTCGGTAGACCAGGCTGGCCTCGAACTCAGAAATCTGCCTGCCTCTGCCTCCCAAGTGCTGGGATTAAAGGCGTGCCCCACCACCACCGGGCCCATCTTTTTACTTTTAATGATAACAAGTGGTACCTTACGTGTGGCATGAGCCCACAACCCTGAGATTAGGAGTCTCATGCTTTACCGATATATTGAAGAATGATGATCTCAAGCTGAGGCCCAGAGTGGAGAGCACTAGTAGTAAAGCCATGAGGCACAGGGTTCCATCTCCTGCACAGCATAAGTGGGCCCTATGGTATAGGCCTAAAATTCCAGAAAAGGGAGCTAGAGACTGGAGGTTTGAGGACAACTGGACCACACCAGACCTTATACCATCACTAATAACTTATTGAGACCGTCTTTTATCCAAAGTATATGCAATTAACATATTTTCTCCCAGTAGGGTTTATTTTGTGGTTGTTCAACCAAAGCTTTGTTGAGCTTCTACTCGGAGGCTGCTCCAGTAGAGGAAAATCAAAATACAGGGACCCAAATTTTCTCTGTGATGTGTTTGAAGCTCTTGTTTCTGTTCCCATCGATACAGCTGGTCCGGTGGAGATGTGCCATGCAGAGACGAGTGCCCAGAAAAATTAAAGGTGTTATTAAACCTTTATGTGGTCCTCCCTTCCCGCCCCTGGGGATCCTTGGCCACCAGCCCACAAGGACAAATGGGGCAGAGCAGACAAACACGGTTTCACAGTGCCCTTGAGTGAATAGAAATGACAACATTCTAGGATTAGCTTCCAGGAGACAGATCAACTTTATTGGGGTGAATCTAGGGTTATATAGTTTTGGGGGAGAAGATAGGAATATTAGGGTTGCAAAGGTCATTGGATGAAGGCTCAAGTACTGAGATAGCTCATTAGCATGGGGAGGCCATTCCAGGAATCTCAGGTGCTTGCTGAGAAGGTGTCTTATGGGAGATGGCAGAAGCTGCAGCTGTAATCTAACCAAGGCTACATGACACTCTGAAGGTAGGGAGTGTGGAGGTTTTGAAATTCCCAGACAAGGTTAGAGAAGGAGAAGCCCTTGGTGACAAAGGAAGTCTGCCATTTTTTTCTGAGCTAGGGCTTTCCGGTAATGTCAGACTTCAACCTTAGCAGCAGGGTGTCCTGATGCTCTTACAGTGATTAAGCCAAGATAGTCATCAGTGTGGTCCATGGGCATCTTAGCTGGGCAGAACTGTTGGTTGCTGTCCTCTTTTGGAAGCTTCTATGTCCTCTTCTGGAACCATAAAAGCTAGTCCTCAGGGAGGAGCCATTCAGGTCAGTTCCAGCTCAGGGGTCTCTGGGTCTCTAGGCCTTATTTCAGAAGTGTGTAGTGTCTTCAGCAGTAGGGG